CATGACATTCAGCATGACATTCGATATAGTGTAAATTAAGTAATTAACTCATTTCAATCACTCAAACGTCAAAATGATAAGTAATCATTTTCAATATTGTAGTAATTCACCGTTTCTACGGGTTTTTTATACCTTTAAAAAGTTACAATAAATTTAAGCTAAATCAAAAGGAAATAACGTTATTTAGTTATACATTTGTAAAGGAAATCTAACAGTCAATCGCTTTCGATAAAACCTTGACCCACCTTTACCTTGTTAATATTATTACCGTTGCTTGCAAGTAACTATTAACGGTCGCTTTATATAAAAACATTGCCTATTTGCGTGTTTCTGCTGGGGTCTACATCGTAGGCTAATTGGCGTGAGAATCTTAAAGTGGAAGTCAAGTCCGTTCTGCGCATCGGTTCTGCTCATAACAATGTGAGGGCCCTCTAATGTAAATATTGTCCGAATTTCGAATGTTTCGAATTTTTCTGAACATAAACTCTATTTCATATTCATTTACAAGCATAGCGAACCAAAATGGTGTTAGATATTCAGACAGTACATCGTATTTTAAAAAGTACAGCAGTTCAAAATGTAAACAAACCGTTTGTTTACATTACGGACTTGACTTCCACTTTAAGTTTTCTTATTTTGACATACAGTAAAACCCCACATAAAAGAACCAGTGGGTTAAGAACCACCAGCCTGACATTTGGGCAATTAAGCATCCAAAATACAAGTTTTTAGAAGTTTTTTAAGTTTAGATATATGTAACGAGAACCATATTAGTGTCATAGCATTAATTTTATGCCATAAAAGTCCCTATTAACTGTGTAGAATAGAAAAAAGTGTAGTGTGAAATAAGATTATACAAGAACTTCAGCCTGAAGTCAAAATTCACTGGTTCTTTTATGTGGGGTTTTACTGTAATAGCTATTTTTCAATAAATATATTGATATTAAATCAATATTTTAAGTTTCACGCCAGTTGTACCAAATGTTATAAGCACTATAGGCGCTAAGTTTCAGATGGCATGCAACATGTACGCACTGCGTACCTATTTTTAAAATAATGCCCACATGTTGGGTTTTCAGCCCAACCAACAGCAACAGGCTACATATTGCGCTGTTACATTAATATATCATATGAAACATTATCCTCAGTATATATCTGGCCAAATTTTATTTGCAGAGTTGGCCAAATCAATGTTAGCCATATTTAATTACGATATACACAGCTGTTTGGGGGGGTGGGTGGTTTGGGGGGGGGGTGGGATTTGCATAAAAGCACCTGGATATTTATATATGTAATGTCAATATACATATATACAGTGCTCTACATATCTCTTCAATGCTTAACGAAAGGGCCACATACAAGTTAGTTGGATCAAGTTGATTGATTGCAGGTCAAAAGTAAACACAATGTAGATACTAGGAATTTCTTAAAGTTAAGTTGATACCAAAATCTAGCTTTTTGATATACGTGATGTTGTACTCCAGCCCATCCCTAACTGGACATGCGCATTAGTTCAAG